ATAGAGAAGTGGGTTTATCAACTGGCAAAAGATTACAAGAAGGGGGCAGATCCGAGGGCTTTTGGAGGGTGATCAGTGGGCTTAATTTGAGATTTACTGAATTCAAGATACAGGATATTCAGATGGGGGTGTCCCCTGTATGGACTGAATGCTGGTCTCCGCCCCCCCCAATACCTCCCAATGTGATGGTGTTTGAAAGTGGGGCCTTTGGGAAGTGAGTAAGATTAAGAGGTCATGAGGGTGAGGCCCTCATGAATAGGATAAGTGCCATGAAAAGTCACCAGAGCTCTGGCTTCCCCTCTCTGCTCTCCACCATGCAAGGATACAAAGCAGTCTACTATCTGAGTCTTATTGTGTCAGCACACTCATCTCAGATTTCCAGCCCCCAGAACTGTGAGAAATAAATTTTTGTATTTATAAACCACCCAGTTCATGGTATTTTTGACTAGCAGCTTGAGCTAAGACACCCTTCCAGATTGCTCCCTCCTCATCTTCTAGAAGAGAGTGCAGCAGACACTCCAGGGCCCAATGGTGACACCCCCTCTGGGCTTTCCAGCCAGACTTCTGATGGCCACCACCTTGCCCAGAGGTCCCCGGGGTTCCCATTGTTCTAAACCATAGGCTGTTCTGCCCCCCTCCCAGAGGGTATTTGGTACCTTCTGAAGACATTTTTGATTGTCATACCTGGTGTGTGTGTTGGGGGTGGGGGGTTTGCTCCTGGCAACTGCCATTTAGTAAGGAGAGACCAGGGATGTTGCTCAACCTCCTACAATCCTCAGGGTAGCCCACACAACTGGGAATTCTGCTCCAAATGTCAGTAATGCTGAGGTTGAGGAACAGTTCCTGGCAGGATTAAGACCCAGTTGCCCATAGTGACCACTAGCTTGATGAGCCCTTTGGTGACGTTCCCTTCCCTTCCCTTCCCTTTCCTTCCTCCCTGCCCCACTTCTCTACTGGGAGCTCCTGGGACCCCCTCCCAATTAGCTGTTTGCCCTCAAGTCACTGTCTCAGGGTGTGCTTCTGGGGGCCACAAACAAGACACTCGAGCTATTTCTGGTCTGGGCGAGCAGATAGAATCTATCTCCTATACCCCACTAGACAAAAACAGTCCCCACCAAGAGGGAAATGAAAAAGATGTTTTGAACATATTTGTGGAGAAAAGGCAACCATCCAGATGACGGTAACACGAACAGTGCCCTCTTAGGACACACCACAAAAGCAAGATGAGCACAGACTGAATTTGGGCAGAGTCCACACCAGCATGTGTCCTTGAGGAGGTGAGGCAGACTGGCAGCAAGTAGGAGAAAGGCCTTTCTGAGAAGAGGAAGTGCCCCTGTGGGCCCTCCCCAGATTCCAACCCCACGTCATAATACCCTGGTATCCTTTCCCTTCCAAAGCCAGGCTCCCAGGGCATCCTGGGAATTGTAAACACAACCGTAGAACATTACAGAGAGCGCACATGGCCCAGAACGTCCTCCCCCCTGTGTACTTCCTCTTTGTGGGAGGGGACAAAATGGCTGCTAATGTCTCCAACGTGAAGGGAAATCTTTACTGGTATCATGGCCAGGGGATTACATCTGCCTACAGTTACAGGATGTATCACTTGCAGAGAATTCCTTCCACAGCATACTCAAGGAACCAAAGAAGAAAAAAGGCATTAAATCGCCAGCTAAATTTGATCTATATTTTTCATTCTGTTTTTTTCCTCCTGTGGTTTTTCACCAAAGTCCACTTTGACAAGCCATTAAAAGAAAACCCTATGTATATGAGCAATAGATTTAAAAAGAGGAAAAAAAAAAAAAAGAAGGTATCAAACAACCCAACGTATACAATTTGGAAGACGTAACCGGATCCTCTACACTGGCAGGCCGTAAACTGGGCTAGGGAGGGACATTGTTTTTCTTTTGGTCATTCTGCCAAGTTATAAAGGAAGTTGGAGATTAGAACAAAATATTTCAATCAAAAATGAATCCTTCATTGAATGTTGCTTGATCCCCTTTGCTACCACCCCCAGCCTCCCTTCCCCCTTATTGGAAGCATATTTCTATTTGAAAAGAAGTAGTGTATTGTTGCTGAATAGAAGGGGGACAGCCCACTGGGGACACACATCGATCTCATCATTTTAAAAGTGGGAGATAAATGACCTAAGGCCTCTTCCCAATCAAATGCTGTTTCTGCACATTCTCAGAATAAATGGCACAGTTTTCCCTCGTGGGGCAGCACGGGCTCACCCCATAGCTGCGTCTGCCTATGCGAGCCATGCGTCCCAGCTCCCCAAACGAGCTTAAGTGCAATTAAGATGGATCTGTCTGAGCAAGGCCAGCGCATCACATCGTTCTTTGAAACTCAAACAAGACCTTGACTCTTCCTAATGGCAAACTTACAAAATAGCCCTCGTATTAAGATGCAGTATTTTGACTTCTTGAAATCCCCCTCAAATTCACTAGGAGAGGTGGATAGATAGCTTAGGTTCATCAAATAGAAAAGGATAGAAAATACCACAGATAAAGGTCTAAGAAAAGAGAGGTAAGGAACAGAGCCACGTCTGATAGCCAAAGAGTTTCTCTTCCCCGGCATCCTGCCCGTCTCTCCTCCTAAGGATTCCATTCTTCTATGTAAGAAGGAATATATTTTTAAATTTTAATTCTGGTATAGTTAACATACAATGTTATATGAATTTCAGGTGTACAATATAGTGGTTCAATAATTCTGTACATTACTCAGTGTTCATCGTCATGAGTGTACCCTTGATGGGTGAAGCAGGTGATGGGGATTAAAGAGATTTGCATATTCAAAGTGGCCCAAGTCAATGTGGTCCTCTGGGTACCGAGCCCACTTCCTACATGTTTAAAAGAACAGTGCAAAGCCAATAATGTGGTGGGACCTTCTGACACCGGATCCAGCTTGTTAGAAACACGATTCAAGAATTTATGGAGGGAAAAAAAAAATCAGCAAAAATGTGATTCCAGAAGAGTCCAAGCAATCAAGAACAGTTTTATAAATTGGCCAGCATCTTTGTGACTGGCCAGGTTCTATACCCTTCAGTATACTCACCCCCATGCTTCTTGCTAAACCAATCTATCCACTGCTCTTCAAAACTCTCAATAAATGTTGGTAATGTAGCCAACCGATATGAATTAGACAGTCATAATAAGTAACAGAATTATCAAGGATATAAAAGCGTAAGGGTACATTGATGGTATTCATAACAGCATGGTAATACATAATAATGGTTTTGCTCTCCAGGGGCAAGAATGAGTTGTATTCCACAATGGATTTTCCAATAAACATTTGCAAATAATACATATTTTGATAGCGAACAATTACATAGAGCCCATACATATCCTGATTCTTCTCCCCAGCCTCCCTGGCTTCATCATCCTGTGACCTCATATATTTCAATGACAATCTCGTATCAGAGATGACTTGAGGCATCACATGTCCCTGACTTAACACGCACCCAACATCTATGCAAGTAACCCGGGAGCCTGGCATTTCCCTTTGCAAGTGCTAAATATTTTAGGAGGTTTTAAAATAGGAAAACAACACCACCATTAAACGATCCTTCATAAACCCACAAAAGAGCATCTGTGAGCGAGAGCCTTTGCTATGGTCCACTGCGCTCACCTATGTGTGTTCAGCACAATGTGTGTGTGTGTGTGTGTGTGTGTGTGTGCATGCAGTTGTGTTCCTTCTGCCTGATTTTCAATGTTGAATTAGAAATGACAACAAAAAAAGAACTCCAGTCCCTCACAGCCTGGCCTCTCTTTTGTTCTTAAATGTAAACCCAATGCCAACCTCATTCCTAGACAAACTGTAGGTCACCAGATCCTTTCCAGCTCACCTGTTTGATAGCTCTTGACGGCACTCTTTGCAAAAAATCTGAATGAACATGGCTGTATCCCAGGGATGGAGCCACCTGCTCTGGCCCCATGTTCTCCATCTAATCATTGCAATGTCACGCCATTAGGGGTTATGATTTTCTTCATTTTGCGCAGGAGGAAGCTGAGGCTCAGAAAAGTCAAGTGACTTGCCCAAGGTCCCTTCAACCTCTCTGCATCTTTGCTCCAGCTGGCCCTGCCTGGGAGCCCTTCCCTGTCAGTGCTAATCCCACCTGACCTATGGAGGTTATCACTTCGGGGATCCCCAAGCTCCTCCTCCCAAGGGCTATCCCTAGTCACCTTGTCATTGCCTCTCACCCTCTCACCTGCTTTGGCCAGGATAGCCTTTCTGTCTAATGTGGCTGCTTCCCTGACTGTACTTCTATGCTTCTAATCCACGGTAGCCCACGTGCTGCCAACTCACTATTCCAAGGACACCACCCGGCCCCCTCCACGCTCCCGACAGCCCTTGCTGCCCCACAAACTAGCTGGGTGAGTCTGGGAAAGTCATTAAAACTTCTTGACAGTTTCTTCACATTTATAATAGCCATCATAATCCCAGCTCTATCTCTGGGAAAAAACTCAAGTAGAGATCGAATGAGACTCAGAAAGCAGGCTTTGGGGAGCATAATTCTCATGCCAGATTTTATTATCTCCAAAATGCCCTGAAATGAAAATTTTCATCTAAATTTGCTCAGAATGTGGGGTTTCTTCATCTCGATCCAATGCTGGAGTTTTCCTCCCATATTACCTCTTCTGCCCACAAGGAATGAAAGTTGGTCAATCAGCTTCTCCCTGCAAAACCTTAGTTCATAGTTTGTGTTCCAGAAGGTATGACCAAGAATTGTATTCAATAATAAACACTGCATGTCTCATTTATGAAATCACCATTAAGGAACTCTTGGTAAAAAGTCTTACTTTTAATACCTAAAGGTCATATTTAATTAATACAATCTTAGGGATGCCTGGATGGCTCATTCATTTAAGCATCTGCCTTCAGCTCGGGTCATGATCTCGGGGTCCTGGGATCAAGCCCTGTATCAGGCTTCCAGCTCAGCCTGTTCCTGTTCCTGTTCCAGTTCCTATTTTTAATTTTTTAAAAAATTAAAAAATTTTTAAAATTTTTTTTGAAAAAATTTAAATCTTAATTTTCTAGATTGTCATATTTGATGAGATAGCCAAAAAGAAAAATAAGCTTTGGAGACAGAAATTATTGAGAATCCTGGTGCCCAGAGCGGTTCAGATCAAAATAAATACCCCAAAGCCCTCAATGCCTCCACTTTATCATGCAGTAAAAATCCCAGCTCCAACTTGACTTCCCAGGCCAACTCCAGCCTTCATCTACCTTTCCCACCCAAAGTTCCTCTTCTCCTACATGAATTATTTGCTTTAGCCACTCTGGATTATTCGCTCTCCTCTTTTAAAATTCCCTTCGTTGTCTCTCCTTAGCATTTTTCTTCAGGTCTCCACCACGAAAATGCCTCTCCCTCTCCCCCTGACCTAACCAAATCCAACTAATTCAAACCTCCACTTCTTCCATCAAAGTTGCCCTGATCACCACAGTCTGAACAGATTTCTCCTTCCCCTGAGCGCCTGTGGCAAGCTCATGCTCTCTCTCACCCCGCACTGCCTTCTGACTAGTGTCGTCTTGAATCATCATTAAACATCTTTCCTTTTTATATGTTAACGTTTGGTGCCCCCATTCTGCCCATAAATCCAGAGCCAGTGGAGGCAGCACATCACATATGGTAGCTACTCATTAAAAACTTGCTACTTAAACTTGACCCACACGCTTGCAAAACTACTCTGATCCAAAGAAATCTTTCTCCCACATAAAGCAACAGAATTGTAGAAATCCACCCCATTGAATATTTTTGGCTAAAAAGGAAGGAGTAGCTTTCCATGGTCTCAACGGAAATGGTGCATGTGAATGTGTGTTTGGGGTACAGAAGTAGAGAGAGGCTTGTTAATTTTAAAGCCACATAGCATGTTTGGCTAAGACTATGACTCCATTTGTGTATTTCAACCACGTAAAATACACCCTGGGATTCTGGACTGAGAAAAATAGCCATATAAGGAGAAAACAAGACATTCCCTATAGCTGCCCTTGTAAAACACTCCATGATTTAACCCTCTGCTCGGACAGATCCAAGCTCCTGCACTTTACAACTGCAAACAATCAGATTCCTGGGAAGAGCTCAGCGTGTGACCTGCACCAACCAGCACAGCCGATCACAGACAAGACCTGACAGGTCACACAAGGGGCAGCATGACCAAAGCTTTGTAGCTGCCTGCCTTTCTCTTGGCAGTACGCTGTCCCAGCCGGAGCAGGCACCGAGATGAGCTCCAGCCCACAGACAACTCTAAGGAGCTCATTAATCCTTCTTTCCTTTAAGAACACAGAGATCTGGGGTCTGCCTCCACCTTCCAGGTGACAGACCATCAATCCGCAGGATCCCTCCAGTGGGGAGGTGGGAGAGAGGGAAGCGGAGATCAGGAGAAGGAAAGAGGGGCTCCAGGCAAAACAGCCAGAGGCAGGAGCTGGTCGGCCATTGCCCCCTCACTCCCAACAGCCCGCATGACGCTGCAATGTACTGTGTGCCCGCCTGGGACCTCTGCTCTGGGCAGACGAGGAACTACAGGGCCAGGGACCCACAGAGAACCCTGGGAGCCCTTGTTTTCACTCTCTACTTCTTGATTGCCATTAATAACAACTCTGAGATCCTTTTTTTCTAAATGGAAAAACTGAAGTCATGACAGGTTCCAGTGTCCCTCACGTGTAATGAATGGTGCTATGACTGGGAATAAAGATTTGAGCTACCGCTGCCACTGCTCGTTTCCTTCCATTACCCATTCTAATCTCTTCCCTTCCAGCAACAGAATGACCCCAAAACCCCCACGCACTGAGGAACAAGAAAGATGGCTGCCCAGCCGCACACAGTTATTTCCCAAGCTCCCCTGCAGCTCCGAGTGGCCATGTGACAAAGGTCCAGCCAGAGGGAAGCGATTGCAAGTGACGTGTGCAAATGTTGGGTGACATCTCTATAAAGGAGCTATTCACCCTTCCCCTGGGCTAGAAGGGCAGATGGGCAGATGAAGAGGACACCAGAAAGTAGAAGGAAGCTGGAGGATTTTGTGGAGCAGCGCCACCTGCCTGCCTGGCACTGCCCACCGGCGTCTGGATGTTCCCTGGGAGAGAAATAACCTCATCTGAGCCCCTGTGTTTTTTAGTGTCTTTGTGACCGCAGTTTAGCGTGCACCTTAACTAATGCACGTGACTTTCTGCTGCTTCGGCTGCGTGCAAAGAATCCCAAAGCCATACCAGCTTGCACTAATTTAAAAAGCAGAAAGGAAAAAAAAAATCGCAGCCAAGATATGTTAACAGTCAGCCGGATTCACATGCCAAAATCAGCCTGTCCTTGAAGCAGGGCTGGAATGGGTCTCATCCACAGGAGGGAGTCAGGCACAGGTGAAAAGTTAGAGAATTCGGATCACTCCTTTCCATAAAAAAGTGTCCTGTTGGAAGTTTGCCTTCCCAAAGGAATTTCAGGTAGAATGATCCTACATCTCTCAGAACTGGAATCAGAAGTACTATTTAGGCAACTTGTCACCATCACTACAAAAATAGTTTATTCAATTCCTTTCACTAATTTTTAAAATTTGCTTTACCTAACTGAAGAGTAGTGTTAAAACATTACTGTGATTGTATATTTGACAATTCCTCCTATAAATTTAATAGTTGTCTTTTATTTGAGGCTATTAGGAACATATTAGTATTGTTATATTTTAGAACAATCTGTCCCTAATCATTAATCTTGCCCTAAATTCTGGTAAAAATGTAATTCTTTTTTTTTTTTTTTTTTGGCCTGATAGGTCTTTTTCCTTCTTTTACCTTTGTTTTCTCTGCTCATTTGTATGTCTGCATATACATACTACCTGTTTGGATGTTACCCGTACATTTTTGTCACACACACTTGACTTCAGAACATTTAAAATAAGTCAGCATTTCTATCCATCTACCAATATTCAGATCTCCAATCATCTCCTACCCTTCTTATATATTTTTGTTGTCCAACATTTCAATTACACATTCTCTGCATCCTTAAAATCTGTCAACATTATTGTTATTTTCTACAGGTAGTAAGTTTACTAACCTTTCTTGAATTTCATTTCTTTCCTTTTGGTTCAGTTTTCTTCTACTTGAAATAAATCTTTTAGAAACTCCTTCATGAAAGGGGCACCTGGGAGGCTCAGTCAGTTAAGCATCTGTCTTGATATCATGTCATGACCCCAGGGTCCTGGGATTGAGCCTTGCCTCAGGCTCCCTGATCCATGGGGAGCCTGCTTCTCCCTCTACCCCTGCCCACTAATCATTCTCTTTCTCTCTCAAATAAATAAAATCTTAAAAATGAGAACAAAAACAAAAACAAAACAAAAAACTCCTTCATGAAAGTCTTTGGTAACTAAAACAAAATTTAATTTCATCTGTGTTGTTCAATAATAATTTAAGTAGTTAACGAAGTGACAGTTTCAATTCCTGTTTTGGGTATATTACTGACTTTTAGTTTCTGTTGTTTCTGTTGAAAAATCTGCCGCCTGTCTAATCATATTTCCTTTGTAGGAAATATGTCTTTTCTCTGTGTTTGCTTTAAGAACTTTTTATGGCTTTGGTGTTCCTCATTTTCATTACAGTGGACTTATGGTTTGGACTTATTCTTATTTAGTCAGCTCATTGTTGACTTCGTAGCTTCCTGAATCTTGTGATTTTTTTTTTAACCATTATAAAAAGTGCTCAGCCTTTTCTCTTGAACTGTTCCTTCCCTGTCATTCTCTATCCTCTGTTTGAAAATCATATTATTTCTCATTTTATCTTCCATATCTTTAATCACTCTCCTACACATTTATGTCTTTGTGATGCATTCTGAATTGGAATCAGACCTCTCTTCCAGCTCATTAATTTTCTCTTTAGCTATATCTAATCCATTAAAATTAATGACTACATTATTACTTCTATTTTAAATTTTTTTTTTCTTTTTTGGCTCTGTAGTCTCTTTTTACATGATACCTTGTATGTTTGTTATATTTTCAATTTCTTATTTTATGTTTCTAATCATTTTAAACATATTTATAATGCTTTTATGACAGATCTACTGTCTGAAGTTACTGGGAATCTAATCCTGCTGTATGTTCTATCTGTTGATTTTCTGTCATGAGGACTGTTTCCTAATATATTTTGTAATTTGGGAGGGTGAGCTTATCTTCAGTGTGGCTTTACTTACGGGAACTCTCTGTGGCCTGAGCTGAGGGTATGACTCAATGGAGTTTTGTGTTTGGTTCATGACTATATGACATCAGGGCCTAGAATCACATTTTTATGTTAGTATCTCATCTCAAATATTCTTAGACCACATACATAGCATAAATCCAAGCTTCAAACCAAAGTAAGGAGTTAGGTTCTTGGTTCAGAATTCTTGATTCACAGTTCAGAGGCTTTTCTTTGTACACAGTTTTTTGGTTAAGAAAGACAAATTCCTTTGTTGTCTCCCTGTGCTAATGGCTTGCTTGGCAGTGCCTGCATCTCTCCCATCACTGAGGCCACAGAATGTAGGCCTCTGCTTTCACAATTAGTTACCTTTCCAATTCAAGTTTCCAAGACAACTTATGTAGTCGCTGCATCTTTAGGCTACATGCATTTGGCTTATCATGGGTGAGGAATCCACATCCAATGCAGTAAGCTGTAGATAGTAACAGGGTCTCAAAGCACTTAGGGAACTCCCTTTTGGGCTGTTTTTGGAGACAATTTATCTAGAGGCCTGGAAAAAGGAAGGAAATGATCTTTGGAAGAAATAATTAGCATCTCTGCAACAGTGAGTTTTCCCATACTTCTTGGTGATTCTTTAGCCTCTATTGTGGGCATAAAGTTGTTAAGGGGTAGAGTCTGAGCTGTTGTAACCTGGGAGAGTGCCCAGAAGAGATCAAGGTGAGCATGCTTCTGCGTAACAGTGGAATTTGTTTTTAACTCAGATTAAATTTGGAACTTACTCTTTCACATAGCAACCTAGCCCACTGGCTGATCTAATAGATATTCCAAAAATTTTTGTTGGAACAAAATATCAAACACTTCCTCCACCCTGCAATAAAGAGATAAAGCAGCACACAGAAGCAGTAGACAGAAGGCATTCAAAGAGAAACAAAGATCCAAGGCCATGCTAAGGAAGAGAAATCTTTCCCAGAGAAATAAGTAACTTGAAGCACACAGTCAGCAAAGAAAGCCAGAGGAAAGGAACCTCTTTAAGGCTCAGAACTTGGTATGGACTTTGACATAGACTATATACCAAGATAGAGTATGTTCTGCAGCTCATTAATAAGAGCCCTGTCACAGGTGGTGACATCCCACACAGACCCTCACAGTAGGATATCACCGTGAACTTGGGCTGTTACATTAAGATAAAGCACACCCTACAGAAACAAAGACCATTCTCTTAGCCTTACCTACATAAGGGATTTAAGGGGAAGGAACTGAAAAAAAAAAATTTTAAGGGAACAACTGTGTTACTTTTTTGTGTATAATAATATCCATCTTAATTATGTATTAAAATATACATCATTCAAATTGTCCTGTGGATTTCTTCTTAATATTTCTTTGGTTTTTAAAACCCAAGTTTAAGGATCTCTCCAAATGCTATTATAAATAGATATTTGGATTAGCTGAGAGCTGCAGACAAATTTTGGGAGCTAAGAAAGCATTCTCCTTACAGAACACTGCCGTGCCCAAGATTCTCTATTCTGAATGTACTACTCATTATTTTCACCCTCCTAAGGAAGTCTCCAAACTTTGTTTAGAAAAAGTCTTAGGGGTGGCCATCTGGTTGAAAGATGGAGGCTAGCAGACTTGATCTGAAACTGTGTTTGCATATTTCCACTCAAATTGTGTTACTAAGATTGGCTTGTGGGAGAGGAAGATTGAACCTCATAGCCCAAGCTAACCTTTGGTCCCACAGTACCTGAATACCGAAAGGAGGACTCCACAAGTAAAAACCCTGGAGAATAAAACCCATAGCCTGGAAAAGATGATTGTTAGTGCCAACTCAGGGCACAGAGAAGCTTTGTTAGGCAAAGTTTGGGCTGTTTGGGCTTTTCAAAACACTCAAAACACCTGTTGCCCAGGATGGGGGCACCATCCTGATGGTGAAATGCTGGACCCCTGCCAATTCTGATAGAAGTCCTCACAGGATGCTTCCTTGATGAGTATACTAGAACTCAACTATGTCACAGATCTGAAACATCTAATACTAATAATGACCTCGACATTGAACCTTGGGTTGCTTTCCCAACAGTAGCTCCTGCAGTTGTTCTCAGATGAAATCAAATTACTGTGGAAAAAATGTGTGAGACCACCCTTCCCACAACCGGGTGAAAAGGGCAGCTTCCCGGGTTACCACACGTTGAACACACTATCTCACCAGCTTACAGGTGGTGTTATTCAAGCCCAAGAATGTGTGGAATGTGTCAAATGTGTGTGTCAAATGTGTGTCAAATTAGGTAGCTTCCCTCTGGAAACCGTTAAATCTTTGCATCTCATCATGGGAGGGGGGGTGGGGCTCACGGAGGGACTGTCGGTGGGAACTCAGCAATGTAACAACTGGAGCCAAACATCTCGATGCAGAAACAAGGAGGTGCTCTGCAGTGGCCAAAAGAGAAGGACCGAGCTTGGCACATGAGACCTCCCTTTCCCCAGGTAGTTCTTTCCAGAAATGTTTCTGGGTGGAAGTTTCCCCCACCTTCTAGCATTCCTGAAAATATTTAAATATGAGATAGGCACTCGGGCTTCAAGTTTATATTAAGAAGTTTAGATGAAAAGACTCTTCTGTGCAGACTGAGCACCCAGAGCTCTGGGACAGCTTCGGGCTGGAAAAGTCCATTCCACTCCCCCTGCCCAAGGGAGCTCCCTGTGTGGGCACCACAGAGAACCAGAAGGCACACTTGCCATGGGGACCCATGACCGGATGTCGGTCCAAGGTACTATGAGTCCCGAGATATTTCTTGAGTCCTCAGTTGGTTTTCTCTCCCTCTCAGGGTAATTGTGAGAAATAAATGAGGTAACAACATCAGATGTGTTATTAACCCCTTCCTTCCATGATCCCATGGAACCCAAGACAAGGTCTTGTGGTGGCTTTGTCGTCACCCTGTGCAGTGGGCGCTTGTGTTCTTGCTTGCCCAGCTACTATTCCCTCTTTCTCTGATCACAGCACCTCTGTTCTTTCCTGGAGAACCTCTCTGCCATTGCTCATGGTTTGGGTGCCCTCCTCTGGCCAACAGCTGAGAACGTGACCCAAGCCAGACCATGTGGAATTGCCCTTCTGGGATTGGGGCAGGAGCAACACCGGGACAGAAAACTTTCAGAGCTAATGAAAGCTGAGCTCCAGGTCCTGATCAGCCTGTCCATCATTTCCTGCTTCACTGCACCCCTGCAGCTACCCTCATCCTCATCTCTTCCTCAGGTCTGGGAACCACCGCCTACCTTCACATTAAATTCCTTGTCTGCCTCTCCGAGCCTGGGTAGTCTTCTGTGCTTTACACCAGTGGGTCTCAGTTCCCCCTTCCCTCTACAGAAGAAACCAATTGCCAGGTCATGGAGACCAAGGTGGCAGCAAGACGAGAAGACTGCCTCCAGATCTGCAGCCCATGCCCCCTCCCCTGCACCTTCCTGGGGACTCTCTTCTTGGTCCCTCACCTTCTCCTCCCTGCCACATCATTCTCCTGCACTCCACGTCATCCCAGCTCCCCCAACCATGATCTGTTTCAACCCTCAAGTCTCTTTTTCCTCTGGTACCAGGTTATTTTCATAAATCTTTCATTTTAAAATAAATCTCAGTGTCTCGTTCACCACAACATTTCTAAAATTCATTCCTCTGCCCCATTCCTCTGCCAGCATACTCATTCCAGAGGAGGGCCCTTCCCACTTGAATGTTGGCAGCATCTTGGCCTCTTGGCTCCCTCTCCTGCCACCTTCCTCTCTCCCAGAGAGAAAATGAGGTTTGGACTTGGGTGGGTTCAAAGCCCATCCATGCATGCCATGCATAACATTCCCTTCCTCAGCACCGATGCATTCTAAGACAAAAAATGCCTTTGATAATGTTTCTCTGGGGGCCAGTTTGGTGCCATTTTGCAAATTGGGAGGCATTGGCTAAGTTCCTCCTGCTGGAGAGTAAGCAGTGGTCACCAACAAAGGGCAAGTTCAGTCCCCACCTGGTTTATGGGCTGTCTATACAGCTGAGCCCCATGAGTCACCATCTCCTCATCCAACTCAAGGGTTGAAGGTGTGGTCATGGTACGTGGTATCTATTCCACCGAAACACGTTTTACCCAATCAAGCCATTACAAAAATGGCCCTGTTTGGCAGCCAGGGATCATCCCCTCCCCTCAGGAAGTGGGTATGTACTAGAATTCAGGGTACCTCTTACAGCTGGGAAACACATTCTATAGGCTGTCCTCTGGGGACCCACAATGAATTCACACCTGTGATTAACTTAAATGAATGTCCAATTTCCCCAAAACCCTGCCCAGATCCAGTTGAGAGAGCCGTTCTCTGGCAACAATTTGAGATTTTGAGAGAGAAATCAAGGTAGGGCAGATTCGGGTAATTTAGCATATCACAATAAACAGTGTGACTTAGAGCTGGGCTGGATATTACCGACATAGACAATGAGGAGCAGGCTACCTATCCACCACCTAACGCCTAATGTTAGGTTTGTACCAGGCCTTTTTCAAAATTCTTCTGGTGTGAAATACCGAATTTGCTCTTCACTAGAAATTTCCCATGCTACTTAAAATTAAATTAGGATTTTACTTTTGTGTGGTATTCAGAAATAGCATGTTGTACAATAGCATTGCCACATATGTGGAACATATGTTCGAGTTCCAGTTGGGGGAAATTATTTTTATAAATGCAGGCTAAAGAACATATTTTTAAATGAATTCTCTTAAACTTAAACTTCATTTTAAAGCTAAGGCCCACCACCATTAAAAAAGAGGGGGTGGGAGGGAAGGAGAGAGGAGAGAGAGAGAAGAGAGAGTGAGAATATGGACAGGGCAGAATTCAGCAATTACTTTCACGGCTGTGTAGCCTTCAGTGAGTTCTCTAAATGATCTCTTAAACCCAAGGCTCTGGCCTTAAAACTAGATTTGGTTCTCCTCCTTGTCTCCAGGGTATGCTTGTGCCCCTGAAAGTTGAATCATGGGCAGAAATTTCCAGTATTTTCGTTCTCTCCCTGCTTTGAAGTCCATTAATCTTCATGTTGACTTTTCCTCCGCCCTCTTGAAAAAATGTATGCGTCCCCAAGTTGGAAAGCCAAGAGCTGGCACCTTTGGACAAGATCACATGGAACAGGAAAGGCAGGAAAGGCAAGAGCCTCGCCAGTGTGGTGAGCCACCACCACAAACCATGGCCGGCATCTCAGGAAGGGAAGTGAGTCAGTCCTCTGAATTCTGTGGTGACGAACCCCAGAGCCTCTGTCACCCCCTGCCCTCCCTGTGGGGGCACGCCTGACCAAGCATGGGGCCTCCTGCTGTGAGGCAGGGCCAAACAGATGTTCTTTTGTCCTTAACACAACGGTGCAGATGGGTACTCTTGAATACCAAGTGTTGTTCGTATTCTTGATCTAAACCCACTTTAAATCAATACATTCTCTTTCCAGTAAAGAGAAATGGAATAACGCAAGTTGACGGTGGGCGACGTGCTTGGAGCTTTTCTGAAGTGACTACAGAACAGATGGAATTCCGATATACTTCTGGACCTATAAAGAACAAACATGTGTATAACTAAACGTGAATCTGGGCATTTGAATGATTAGAGTCAAATGAAGGCAATAGAACCAATCTCTGTCCAACATTCCGTCCATATAAAAAACCTGCATGTGAGCCTAATGATCATCAAAAAAAAAGACTGATGGTGATGTCACTAGGTGCTTGGAGGGAGACTCAAGTTACCCGTCCCAGGTGGTGAGGAGCGTATGGTCTGATTAGTTACACACACACACACACACCAGCAATGGAAACCTCAGAATCTTACCTGATTCTTCTCCTTTACCTCGTGCCCTATTTGATTCCCCAGTCTTGCTCCCTCTAGTTCTGTGATTCTCATATTTACGTCCTGATGTTTTCCTCACCCAGCTGTTTCAGGCCCTCTTGCTTCTTCCCCCGATTATACCAACAGCCTCATTTCGGGCACAGGATGCTGCCTTTAAGAGATCACCACCACGGGTTGGGCTGTCAAAGGCTAACACTCAGCCCACTGCCTCTACTCCCTCAACCATAACAGACCACATTAATCAATCCCAGTGCCTTCCGCATGGCTGCACAGCCCTTTGGAGCACAGCCCCCCAAGGTCACTACCAATTTATCAGACTTCTTCCGCAAACAGAGTCTATTTACCATCCCGATGTAAGTCCTTTAAAACAAAGTTCTTCAACCGGGACGGAGCAGCGACATCCCAGCTGCCTGAAAAACACATAAGATCGAAACCTGGCGTGCAATGTGGGCATTTTTTCATGTATCACACATGATTTATTTTATGTGTCTTCTTCACTGAGGGCAAAGTGAATCTAAAGCCAAACCCGAACATTCTGCCCCTTCCAAATCCTCTCTCTTGCCCCCCACTGCTGTACAGCCTTCCCTGGTTCCTATTCCGCAGCTACAAATCTTGTGCTTTCCCCAGCCGGTTCCTAACAACTTCCATTTGGACACAGGCACCTCGGTCCAAGACTAACACCAAGACAGGTACATCCTCCAAGAAGCAGATGTCGGGATGGGATCTGATGTGCAAAGCTGTACGAGGGCGGAGGCCTATGAGAGAAGATGGGGGAGGTGCCAAGAGAGGCTGGCAGAGCTGTGGGACAGCCGGGCACGTCTGACCCTGTGAAGAGGAGAGAAACCACTTGGCTGGCAGTGCAGTCTGATGGAAACTTCTGGAGGTGCTGGAGCTAGTCACCCATCAGAGGAGTTGGGGTCCCTGCATCCCTGCAGCGCTGAGTCACGGGCTGGGAGCAGGTCTCAGCACAAAGTAGCGGTTTCTGGTGACAGCAGCAGAGGCCTCAGCCAAGGATTGACCCTCCCACCCTCCTACTCATTTGTCCACCCTCCCCACTACTCTACATCATCTTCTGGAAACACCCTTCTGGTCTTGCCACTCTCCACCCAAGAAGCTTCCAGTAGGTCCTCCGATGGCTTTCAGAATGAACGTCTTATTTCCACCAGCTGGCGATCAAACTTATCTTTGCAACGCTGCTTCCCACTAACCTTTACAGCCCCTGGGCTCCAATCGGACCAGACCTCATAACTGTCGAGACACACACTCTGCAGTTGCAGACATCCTGCCTTTGTCCATCCAGGTCCCCCTCCCTGGAATGCCTTCCCAGACTGGCTTTCCCCCAGATCTGCACGTTTCCAACTTCCATCTGTGCTTCAAGGCTAGCTCAGAGGCCACTCTCTCCTTGAGGAGATAAGCTACATACACCACTGCCCTGCCCAGAATCCCTGATACCTAGGGACACAGGAAGAAGCCGAAATAGTAGAGAAAGACATAACCTGATCTGCCCTGAATGCAGAGCTTTCCAGACAGGGGATTTTAGCAAACAGCGCTTCCCCGGTTCCACGAGTGCCATTAATAGCAGTAGCTCGTGTCCGACCAACAGGGTTAGTCTCGCTTTTAGCCCTGGTGCAGATGTTTAATTAATCAGGGCCGCCGTCCTTGTTCGCCCTTGACTGGGTTTCCCCGATGATTACCCACTGGAAAACTCAGCCCTTTAATGCAAACAATGTCCTGATTAGTGTTTTGTGCCGAGCGGCAGGTTAGGGGAGTAGGTCCTTCATTAGCGAGCCAGCCCGGAACTGCAACGTTAAGTCTTGAAAACTCAAACCTCATTTCATACGCAACTGTCTTCCCATTTTCTCGCGTGTCAGCCCTTTCCGTAACTCCCTTTCTTTCCGTCCAACTTTGACTGGGGGAAAGGAAGTTTGCATCGAGTGAATATAGAATAGTAAATTATTCTGACTTCCGCACGGTTCCGAGGCTGACTTGGGTTGTGCAAGTGCCCTCCATCCAGCCGTGCCCCTGTCTCTCTGCGGTCAGGAGCTTGGGGGTGCCCCCCTTTTGTGGCTGGCACAGGTGTTGGTTCGCGCGACCCCTCCCCCTCTCCCTCACTAGAAAGGGGGAGGAAATCAGATGATGAAATGAAAACCTTTAAATAAAATATCATTCACACAAAGGAAAAGAATTTTCCTCTGGGTCATTATCAGTGGAAACCCAGTGAAAAGATAATAAGCACAAGATTCCTGATTAATTAAACATTTGTGCTCTTTGTATGCAATTATTCTGGGTAAAATCAACTCCGGGACATCTGTTTACTCAACCTTGGGCTGAGAAACCACCAAACTACCTCTGCTCTGTATCTCCAGGCACAATGTCAAGGCATAGAACTGAGAGCTCATAAGCCCGAGGAATATGCCCGCTAATTTTCGAGGCTGGAAACAGATGACCATGCTACACGAGCAATAAATTAGGGAGGCTGACTCATCTTGCAGAGGGTTAATTGGGGAAATCTAAAGTGACAATATATTAATATAATACATATTCACCAACATACATAATTGTTTTATGCTACAGAGCAATTAAATGTAGATGACAAACATTTTCATGAATGCTTCAATTAATATCGCCTTTTATCCAGTGAAATCGCATTTCTAACTTTCTCCTTTCACCCAGTGTCTTAGCCCCTTGGGGCCACTGTAACAAATTACCACAGACCGGGTAGCTTATAAACCGTGGGGATTTATTTCTCACCGTTCTGGAGGGGAGACATCCAAGATCAGGGTGCTGGCACGGTCTGGTGAGCACACTCTTCTGGGTTAGAGACTGCTGACTTCTTGCTGTGTCCTTACGTAGGGGAAGGTGCCAAGAGATCGCTCTGGAACCTCTTTCATAAGGGCATGAGTCCCATTCATGAGGGCTCCAATCTCATGACCTAATCATCTCTTAAGTCCATCATATTGGAGATAAGCATTTGGACAATTTGGGACAGACACCATTCAGACCATGGCACCCAGTTAGGTCTCCAATTTCAATGATTTTCCTAACTACTGCATTGTCGACTCTGCCTTATCCTCCGAGGCCAGGGAATATCCCTGCCCAGTTTCATGGGAGCCTAGGAATGGGCAGAAGTGGGATGCCCCTTGTCAGGTGACAAGCAAAAAACCACAACGTATGAATTAAAGAGGACCAAGATCCAAGAGTAGGTCAAGCGGAAAGTGAAACTAAGGCACAGGAGGTCAACAGGAGGAGATGCAAGGCAGGAAAGGAGCGAGGACTGGAGACCACATGCCTACAATAGCCTTTTTATGAATCTCTCACTGTCACCAAACACCCTGGGGAGAAGGAGTCTGGATTATCAGCCTGAGAACCTGTGTTATATGTAAACAAAGGAGCAATTGTCGATGAGTAATTGTCGATGACTGCTTGATTCTCCATGCCTAGCCAATACCACGGTGTATCTTTAGGACTCCGGCTCTGGTGGTTCAGGGCTTGGGTGTCTTCAGATCTAACAAGGAGTTATAATAGCAATAGGTTCCCATGTGAGGGGAGAGTTGGCATACCACATCCACCTCGCTGACCCTGGTCCTTTCTGGTGAAACTGGTGAATGAATCACACAGTCTTAGGAGGCATAGCAGCAAAGATGGGGCTCTAGTCCTGATTGATCATCTCCACCTGGGCATAATGTGTGGGAAGAAGAGGTTGGACAGGTATGCGTTATGAGGAAAGGCTTTGAAATCATCCTCTGAAACCAAGATGCCCACCAAGGGATGGAATGAAAAAGCCAACAATGCCCTCTACTCCTCCCACCCAAACAAACAAAAAGAGAGAAAACAAGGAGTGCCTTGGGAATCCATAGGCCGGGAGCTCAATGCAGGACTCGATCCCAGGACCCCGGGATCATGACCTGAGCTGAAAGGCAGTTGCTTAACTGACTGAGCCACCCAGGCATCCTGGTAGAAGATCTTTAAAAAAAAAAAAAAAAAAAAGAATACAGCTGATGCAGATAAAGTCTGTGCAAGGGACAGACATGATAGTTTTCATGAGGTTGTCTGTGGAGTACCAGAGGTAAGGGCAAGCCATGTCAACATGAGGGACTTCCCAGAGCCATCTCTGGGGGGCTCTAAAGCCCAGATGATGTACGGTAGATACCCCTTCTCCATGCTGGGTCCAAGATGCAAAGCCACATTTGATCACATGACTTCCCGCAATAGGGACTAAAATCAAACCCATCAAAGACAGTGGCCCACAGTCCCTGTTCTAGATGCAGTCCCTGTTCTGGACCTGAATTCCTAAGTCTGTCTCAACTGTCCCTGCTTCTGGTGGTCCAAGCATGCCCTTTGAGTCAGTCCCCCTATGCCTTGAGGCAGCCATGATAACAGCCAATAACTCTTACTCCCAGAGGGGCAACTGCCCTCAGAGGGGGCCCAGCTTCCTGGAGGTAGGAGTTGGCTCCTCCTAGTTCAGAATAATCTCCTTTTAGATGGGATACTTTAGGTTTGATTAGGTGGGTCTAGGCCAGTTTGAGATAAGACAGGACTAAGGCATTGTATTAGTTTCTTTTTTTTTTTAATTTTATTTATTTATGTATTTGATGGAAAGAGAGAGAGAGCACAAGCTGGGGAGCAGCAGGTAGTGGGAGAAGCAGGCTCCCCGCTGAGCAGAGAATCCCACGTGGTGCTCAATCCCAGGACACTGGGATCATAACTGAGCCGAAGGCAGACATTTAACTGACATTTAACCAACTGAGCCACTCAGGCGCCCCAGGCATCGTATTAGTTTCTTGTAACAAATTACCACAAACTTAGTAGTTTAAAACAACACAACTCTATTACTTACATTTCTAGAAGTCAGAAGTCCAAAATAATCTCACCAGGCTAAAATCAACGTGTAGACAGCGTTGTACTCCTCCTGAGGCTCTGGTGGAGAATGCATTTCCTTGCACTTTTGTGTTTCTAGAAGGCAGCCTGCCCCGCATTCCTTGGCTCAAGGCCCCTTCCTCCATTTTCAGAGCATGTCATGCCTACTTCTGCTTCCTGCAATGGATCTCCTCTGGCCTTCTTGTCTTCCTCTAATAAGGACCCTTGTGATTAGTTTTGGCCCACATAGATAACACAGGATAATCTCACCATCTCAAGATCCTTAACCACCTTAGGAAAGTCCCTTTTGCCCTGTAAGAGAACACATTCACAGGTTCCAGGGACGAGAACAGGGACATCTTTGGGGGACCATTACTCTTTCTAGCATAAACATATCTGAACACCAGAAGGCCTTGGCTGTGACTGACCCAGTGAATTCCTTACTGATCTCGAGATGATCAGTTACTGGATGTGCAGAGTGAAAAACAAAGCAAAGTGTTGAAGAAGCAGTTGGCAGCTGCCAATGAACCCCAGAAATTCATGAACATCTTTGCTTACCCTGGAGGCCTCCCATTTGCAAAAGTCTGACTCCTTGAAGGACTTTGTGCAAACATCTTGGTTGGACTGAACATGGCCCACAAATTCCACCTCTAGCCTCACAAATTTACTCCTTTGGACAAGGCCAGAGGTTGTGCTGCTCAAATCATGGGGAATAAATCAGGATAGCAGCTTGGAAGTCAGTGTGTTAAGGTTCAGTGTTTCTCAGGATGTTCATCATTTGCCCTACTAAAAATACCTCCTAGTCAAATTCAAACAAATTTGAGAAAACACAGTTAAAGTCCCACATAATTAAATCTATTTGAGTCAAAGAGTTTTTTTATTTGAAGACCTGTCGGAGAGCCTCAAGCCATTCTTGAAAGTGTTGTTGGTCAGAGCTAACAAGCAATTCAACTCACTGAAGGGGGAATATAAAGTACAAGGCACCCCCCCCCCAATGTCTTGACCTCAGAACCTCTTAGTCGCAGGGCACCAATCTGGGTCTTCTAGATCTTGGGTTCGATGGAATAGAGTTTGGGAAACACTGAATCAGAATATTTAGAGGATGATGCTCTGTCCAGGGTTTGGTCGGGACACTGGTTATTCCATGCACAGGTTGTTTACCTCTCATCAACCTCTTGGGTGTGGGTGAAATGCCAGCACCCCAACATCGTATTCTATCTAGGCTTTTGCTGCAGTGGACAACTGAGACAGCGGTGAGATTGAGAAGGACACCATACTCTGTTAGAAGCAGAACACTCCATCTTTCCTCTGTACAGAGAACAGAGAGGCCTAAGAAGAGAGAGAAAGGGCCCAAAGAAGTTTCACCATAAAAACATCTTTCAGTTTGCGAAAGATCCCAGTTTCAACCTCCGCCATGAAGTGTCGCCACCTGATGGGAATACAGAACAACTACTTTGTTTTGTGTCTGCAAATATGCCCTGGTTAGATGACATATTTTTCCAAGAACCCAGACACAAGACAACAGTCCCCTTGGGAGGGATCCTTAGTGGAATTTGGATAAGTATGGTGGAGGGATGGAGCACCTACCCTCAGTCATTTGCCTTTCCGTAGACCCCGTAGGCAAGGGCAGTGCACCCCTCAGAGTGGCCACAGTCACCCAGCTTGTGGTCCACCTGCTGTGGACGTGAAGATGACATTGCCATCTTGTCAGCCTTGACGGTGAAAGAGACGGCAACGATAAGAACACGTGGGAGGTCTCTGGATCCCTGTCACCTCCCTTGAGACTATCCGGGTACAGAGCCAGTAAATTCAACACCATCCCAAATGAACAATCGTTTCTTTGTTTTGATGTCTGTTAGAAGATGAGGTTCCATGCCCTCTGGTGCTGGCTGCTGGAGGGCCCATCACCTCCTTCCGGGATGGACCACCCTGTCCACAGTCCATGTGTCTACTTGGTCTTGGTCCAGGGCGCTCTCCTGATCTTCCCTCTCCCACAGGGTCCTATGAAAGCTAGCCGTAGAAGATTCTGGATGCCCTTCTGCATCAGTCAGGAGAGGCTTCTCAGGCTGCAGTAACAAACAAGCCCTGCGTTTCAGTTGTTTAATAAAGTGGAAGTGTATTTTTTTGCTCATTCTACCTGTTCATTTCTTGTCAGCAGGGGGCCCTACTCCATAGCTGCCTCTAGATCAAAGCCAGTCACTCGGGGGCTAAGGGAGAGACGTGGCAAAACTCGTACAGACTCTCAAAGACTTTTGCTCATGTTTTTATTATTAATATTGTACAAAGCAGCTATTAGTTATTGGTTTATTTTTAGAAAGGGAGAGAGAAAAAGGGGCAGAGGGAGAGAAGAGAATCTTAAGCATGATCCACACCCAGCACAGTGGCTCAAACCCACGCCCCTGAGATCATGACCTGAGAAATCAAGAGTCGAAGGCTTTACAGACTAAGCCCCCCATGCGCCCCTCGCAGCGATCATTCACTGATTATCTAATCTGGGTGCAGCATTTTACAATCCCTTAACCCTCACACAACAAGTTTATGAGATATTTACTTCCCCTGTTTTTCAAACAAAGGACCTGAGTATTCGAGACATTAAGTAACTCATTGCAAATCTGGCAAGTACCAGAGACAGGCTTTGCTGCCCGCTCCCAAATGCCCCGCTTTTCGCAAATGTGGCTTCCTCACTCAGAGAACTTTCTCTGATTTCTGATCTCGTTTATGTGAAAAATCTTACAGAAACATAACAATTAAATCAGTCACCTATTTTTAAAATTGCCTTATTAAAAGAGAAAAAAATTTAATGAAAAATGTGAAATACGGCAAAAAAGCACATACCGGTGAGTGTGAAACTTACTTTCATTTTCATTCATCTGCTTGTGAAATTGCTCGCATATTTCCTAACTCAGGCTTGTGAGAAGAACGTTATTTGTTCAGTCATACTTTATTTTTCCTTCCCCCTCCCACACCCCTTGCAAACATCTCTTGACAAGTCTCTGCGTAATTAATTTACATTTCAGAAGAGGTTTTTCAGTGCCAGAACCCATTGATGACTTCCGTGCTGCCCAGAAGCCTCTCGTCAGGGACAGAGAGCTTTCCATGTGAGGTCCTTGACTTCATGCTCAGGACCAACAGCATGAATTCACGAATTTGTAATGCTTCCAACTGAGTTAACTGCTTGTCAAAATATTTACATTTCCGGAATATTTTGATGTTTTACGGGGATAACGAAAGCAAATATTTAAAATCCAGACTGCTCTGGAAAATCCGAAATATATGGTAGTTCACGGTTGTAGCTGTTCCCAAACCACCAGTTTGCTTTAGAAAAGAAGGAACTCTCTCCTCCTGGTATTTACATCTTCTTGGTATAAATCAACTAAGTTAGCATTGCCCACAAGGTGGTTATTCTTCTTCCCACAAGTGACATGTCCCCAACTGGGTCTCCACTTTCTTTCCCACTCCTTACCTTAACCCAGTGTGCCCTCAAAGCTCAGTTCTTGCCTTTGACTATGGGAAACCAGAAACAATGGCCGAAAATACCCAAAGTCTGGAGGTTGTCAAGGAGAGGATCTTCTGTCTTCCTAACAACAGAATTTAAAGTCCCTTCCTTAAGGGATTAGGGTCTATATAGGATGGTCCCTTCTCCATTTCCCCCCACGAACAGATGTCACCCAACTTACTTTCAGCAGACACTGGAGAGGAAACATCAACTCACTTAAATTTGTTCCCATCATTCATGAATATCTGAACATGTTCAGTCCAGGGACTTGCCTCTGGTTCTTAGACAGGAGCAGCTGGAAGGAAGAGCTCGAGCCCAGAACCCCTCCTCTAGGTGTGCAGGCCAATATGGTGCAATCGCAAAGAAGTCATGGGTTAGGAGTCAGCTCCCAAATCAAAAGCTTTGTGGGGGAGGGGTGGGGATGACTTTGAAATGAAACTGTTAATGTTTTGTCTTTGCAACAGGTTTTTATTCCCACTTTTCTTCAATTAATCCACGACTTTATAAGATTTAGCTGCTCTTCCAAACAGCCCTCAAAGTAAAAGCCTATTACCCACAGGCAAAATCATTCAATCTTATCTGCTAACTTGGATGACAAAAAGACATGACTAGAAAGAGATTTCTCTGGAAAGGAAATGTTGGTGGCCCTGGGAGATGGCTTCTGAATTCACATCAGCTCTGAAAAAAGGCTGTTGTAGGCTTTCTAAGATCCCAGATCCCCTCTGTAGCTATAAGGTTTTAATGATCATACTTCTTTTTTAAGAAGTTAATGAATGAATAAGGTCCAGTGTCACAGGAAGAGATAATAATACTTGAATTACCATACTGTTGTATTCAATACAGCAAGCAATTATCTATTTTATGTGCTTAAGTCTTCATTGATAGGTGTAGAAAGAAACCCACGTTACACCTTTGGACCCCTGCAGTGTGGAGCCAACGGGTCATCCCTGCTCTTGCCCGCTTTCGCCTGGCCTCCAGCTGTGCTAAGGGTGAGGCCATAAGCTTCTTAGAAATAATGACATCATGTCTTTGTCTCTGGCAACTTCTTTTACAAGTTAGCCTGGAAAAGGTTACAAAATGACAATTAAGGGGTGCCTGGGTGGCTCAGCCGGTTAAGAGCCAGTCTGACTCTTAGTCTCGGCTCTGGTCATGATCTCAGGGTCAAAAGATTGAGCCCCAAGTCAGGCTCCGGGCTGGGTGTGGAGCCTGCTTAGGATTCTCTCTCTCCCTCTCTCTCTCCCCCTGCTCTCACATGCATGTGCTCTCACTCTCATTCTCCCTCTCGCTCTCTAAAAAACAAAACAAAACAAAAGACAACTCATTTAAGAGGCCATGCAACAGGTTAACAAACATCACAAATGGGTTAAACATCCTTCCGTTCTGCCCTCCTTCTCATGGATCTTCCTCTACCCCAGAAGCTAGGAATCTCAAAACTGCATTTATGGGACTACCTAACAAGTGGGGTTCCAGGTGAGATTTCTATTAGAAGATGGAAGTGGAACAAGGTTGTCTTTTGTCCTTTTTCTGCAGTTTCCACTGGCAAATGCTGTAGTGGACTCTGGATTTCCCGTAGAGACTCACCAGCCATGGTGTCTTCGCACAGCAAGTCTTTCTATGACCCCCTTCCGTGGGGAGCTCTCAGAGTTATTGTGAGAGCCCACCCCAGCCTGTCTCTTGTGTGAAGCACGTTTTCATAAAACAAATCTCCGCAAACTGGATCGGATGAATTCTATTCCCTGCTACTGAACCTGACTGATCCTAAGTTCATCCAACCTTAGTTACAATGGAAGAAATGAAAATTGGCTCTCAAATCACTAAATGCTTTACTGGTACTATTTTACGCAGGTGCTGGTGCAATGAAAGTTACTCTCAACATCGCAGGTTGGAAACTAAGTATAAGCTTTTAAGGAAGCAATTAGGTAATAAGAATCAAGAACCTTAAAAAGTCTATAACATTTCAGGTGCCTGGGTGGCTCAGTCGGTTAAGAATCAGACTCTTGATTTTGGCTCAGGTCATGATCTAATGGGTTGTGAGGTCAGCCCCT